ACATTCAAAACTAGGGACGCCAAGCCCATGATGATTCTCTTCAAATCGCTTATTCTCTCTAGGCTGGAATACTGCTGTACACTAACTGCCCCTTTCAAGGCTGGTGAAATTACTGACCTGAAGAGTGTACAAAGAACTTTCGTGGCACACAAGTATGATAAGGCACCTAAATTACTGAGAATGGTTGAAGTCCCTTGATTTGTATTCCCTGGAAAGCAGCCAAGAGAGATACATGATAATATACATTTTCAAAATTCTAGAAAGATTAGTACCAAACTTGCACACAAAAATCACTCCCTATGAAAGCAAAAGACTCAGCAGGAGATGTGACATTCCCCCAATGAAAAGAGGTGCCACGAGCACACCAAGAGACAACACAATAAGTGGCAGGGGGCCCAAGACTGTTCAACCGCCTCCCAGCATACATGAGGGGGATTACCAATAAACCCCTGGCTGTCTTCAAGAAGGCACTGGATAGGCACCTAAAGTCAGTACCTGACCAGTCGGGCTGTGGTTCCTAAGTCAGTTTGCATGTGGCCAGCAGTAACAGCCTGGTTGATCAGACCCTGATCCACCACGAGGCCTGGTCTCAGACCAACCCGTTGGGGCACTAACCCCCGAAACCCTCTCCAGGTATACTCCAAGGAAACAACTTTTCTCCCTCTCACCTGCACCCTCCCTCCCTCTCACCTGCACCTTCCTTTCCTCTCACCTGCACCTTCCTTTCCTCTCACCTGCACCTTCCCTTCCTCTCATCTGCACCTTCCCTTTCTCTCACCTGCACCCTCCCTCTCTCTCACCTGCACCTTCCCTCCCTCTCACCAACATCTTCCCCCTCCCTTCCTTTTACCATACCTCCCCTTCACTTTAACCCTTCTTCCCTCTCATTTTCACTCTCCTTCACCTTCACCCTTCCTCCCTCTCACTTTCACTCTCCTTCCCCCTCCCCTTCAACCCCTCATCTCCACATTCATTCCCTCTCACCTTTAACCTCTCTCATCACCTTCACCCTACCTTCCTCTATCACCCTCCCTCCATCTCACCAGCACCCTCCTCACTCCCTCTCACCTGGCACCCTCCCTCACTTCCTCTCACCTGGCACCCTCCCTCACTCCCACTCACCTGGCACCCTTCCTCACTCCCTCTCACCTGGCACCCTCCCTCACTCCATCTCACCTGGCACCCTCCCTCACTCCCTCTCACCTGGCACCCTCCCTCACTCCCTCTCACCTGGCACCCTCCCTCACTCCCTCTCACCTGGCACCCTCCCTCACTCCCTCTCACCTGGCACCCTCCCTCACTCCCTCTCACCTGGCACCCTCCCTCACTCCCTCTCACCTGGCACCCTCCCTCACTCCCTCTCACTTGCACCCTCCCTCACTCCTTCTCACCTGGCACCCTCCCTCTCACTTGCACCCTCCCTCACTCCCTCTCACCTGCACCCTCCCTCACTCCCTCTCACCTGCACCCTCCCTCACTCCCTCTCACCTGCACCCTCCCTCACTCCCTCTCACCTGCCAGCCTCCCTCACTCCCTCTCACCTGCACCCTCCTTCCCTTTCAAATGAATCCTCCCTCCTTCCCTCACACATGCACCCTCTCTCCCTCCCTCTCACCTTCACCCTACCTCCCTCCCTCCCTCTCACCTGCACCCTACCTCCCTCCCTCCCTCTCACCTGCACCCTACCTCCCTCCCTCTCACCTGCACCCTCCTTCACTCCCTCTCACCTGCACCCTCCCTCCCAAATGCACCCTCCCTCCTTCCCTCTCACCTGCACCCTCCCCCTTCCCTCTCACCTGCACCCTCCCTCCTTCCCTCTCACATGCACCCTCCCTCCCTCCCTCTCAAATGCACCCTCCCTCCCTCTCACTTGCACCCTCCCTCCTTCCCTCTCACATGCACCCTCCCTCTCTCTCACCTGCACCCTCCCTCTCACCTGCACCCTCCCTCTCACCTGCACCTTCCCTCTCACCTGCACCCTCCCTCTCACCTGCACCCTCCCTCCTTCTCACCTGCACCCTCCCTCTCAAATGCACCCTCCCTCTCACCTTCACCCTCCCCTCTCTCCCTCTCAAATGCACCATCTCTCTCTCTCTCTCTCTCTCTCACACACACACACATGCACCCTCCCTCTCACCTGCACCCTCCCTCCTTCCCTCTCACCTGCACCCTCCCTCCTTCCCTCTCACCTGCACCCTCCTTCCTTCCCTCTCACCTGCACCCTCCCTACTTCCCTCTCACCTGCACCCTCCCTCCTTCCCTCTCACCTGCACCCTCCCTCCTTCCCTCTCACCTACACCCTCACTCCTTTCCTCTCACATGCACCCTCCCTCCTTCCCTCTCACATGCACCCTCCCTCTCACATGCACCCTCTCTCTCACCTGCATCCTCTCTCTCACCTGCACCCTCCCTCTCACCTGCACCCTCCCTTTCACATGCACTCTCCTTCCCTCTCACTTGCACCCTCCCTTTCGCATGCACCCTCCCTCCATCTCACCTGCACCCTCCCTCCCTCCCTCCCTCTCAAATGCACCCTCCCTCCTTCCCTCTCACCTGCACCCTCCCTCCTTTCCTCTCACCTGCACCCTCCCTCCTTCCCTCTCACCTGCACCCTCCCTCCTTCCCTCTCTCCTGCACCCTCCCTCCTTCCCTCTCACCTGCACCCTCCCCCCTCCCCTCTCTCCTGCACCCTTCCTCCTTCCCTCTCACATGCCACCCACCCTCCCTCCTTCCCTCTCACATGCACCCTCCCTCCTTCCCTCTCGCATGCACCCTCCCTCCTTCCCTCTCACCTGCAACCCTCCCTCCTTCCCTCTCACCTGCACCCTCCCTCCTTCCCTCTCACCTGCACCCTCCCTCCTTCCGTCTCACCTGCACCCTCCCTCCTTCCCTCTCACCTGCACCCTCCCTCCTTCCCTCCTCCACCTGCACCCTCCCTCCCCTCTCACCTGCACCCTCCCTCCTTCCCTCTCACCTGCACCCTCCCTCCTTCCCTCTCACCTGCACCCTCCCTCCTTCCCTCTCACCTGCACCCTCCCTCCTTCCCTCTCACCTGCACCCTCCCTCCTTCCCTCTCACCTGCACCCTCCCTCCTTCCCTCTCACCTGCACCCTCCCTCCTTCCCTCTCACCTGCACCCTCCCTCCTTCCCTCTCACCTGCACCCTCCCTCCTTCCCTCTCACCTGCACCCTCCCTCCTTCCCACTCACCTGCACCCTCCCTCCCTCTCACCTGCACCCTCTCTCCCTCCCTCTCACCTGCAACTTCCCTCCTTCCCTCTCACCTGCACCCTCCCTCCCCTCTCACCTGCACCCTCCCTCCTTCCCTCTCACATGCACCCTCCCTCCTTCCCTCTCACATGCACCCTCCCTCCTTCCCTCTTACATGCACCCTCCCTCCTTCCCTCTCACATGCACCCTCCCTCCTTCCCTCTCACCTGCAACCCTCCCTCCTTCCCTCTCACCTGCACCCTCCCTCCCTCTCACCTGCACCCTCCTTCCTTCCCTCTCACCTGCACCCTCCCTCCTTTCCTCTCACCTGCACCCTCCCTCCTTCCCTCTCACATGCACCCTCCCTCCTTCCCTCTTACATGCACCCTCCCTCCTTCCCTCTCACCTGCACCCTCCCTCCCTCCCCCTCTACCTGCACCCTCCCTCCTTCCCTCTCACCTGCACCCTCCCCTCCTTCCCTCTCACCTGCACCCTCCCTCCTTCCCTCTCACCTGCACCCTTCCTCCCTCCCTCTCACCTGCACCCTCCCTCCTTCCCTCTCACATGCACCCTCCCTCCTTCCCTCTTACATGCACCCTCCCTCCTTCCCTCTCACATGCACCCTCCCTCCTTCCCTCTCACCTGCACCCTCCCTCCTTCCCTCTCACCTGCACCCTCCCTCCCTCTCACCTGCACCCTCCTTCCTTCCCTCTCACTTGCACCCTCCCTCCTTTCCTCTCACCTGCACCCTCCCTCCTTTCCTCTCACCTGCACCCTCCTTCCTTCCCTCTCACCTGCACCCTCCCTCCTTCCCTCTCACCTGCACCCTCCCTCCTTCCCTCTCACCTGCACCCTCCCTCCTTCCCTCTCACCTGCACCCTCCCTCCTTCCCTCCCTCCTTCCCTCTTCTGTATAGTCCTTGTGGCTTAGCGCTTCTTTTTGATTATAATAATAATAATCCTTCCCTCTCACCTGCACCCTCCCTCCTTTCCTCTCACCTGCACCCTCCCTCCTTCCCTCTCACCTGCACCCTCCCTCTCACATGCACCCTCCCTCCTTCCCTCTCACATGCACCCTCCCTCCTTCCCTCTCACATGCACCCTCCCTCCTTCCCTCTCAACCTGCACCCTCCCTCCTTCCCTCTCCACCTGCACCCTCCCTCCTTTCCTCTCACCTGCACCCTCCCTCCTTCCCTCTCACCTGCACCCTCCCTCTTCACATGCACCCTCCCTCCTTCCCTCTCACATGCACCCTACCTCCTTCCCTCTCACATGCACCCTCCCTCCTTCCCTCTCACCTGCACCCTCCCTCCTCTCCTTCCTTCTCACCTGCACCCTCACTCCTCCTCCCTCTCACCTGCACCCTCCCTCCTTCCCCTCTCACCTGCACCCTCCCTCCTTCCCTCTCACATGCACCCTCCCTCCTTCCCTCTCACATGCACCTCCCTCCTTCCCTCTCACCTGCACCCTCACTCCCTCCCTCTCACCTGCACCCTCTCTACCTTCCTTCTTCATCTTCACCTTTATCCTTCCACCACCCTTCCTCTCAACTTCACCCTCTCTCCTCCTCAGCTTCACCGTCCCTTTCCCTCGCCCCTCACATTCACCCACCCTCCCCACACCATCCCTCCTTTTCACCTTCACCCAGTCACCTTCATCCTCCCTCCCTCCCCCGTCCTTCCCTCAAGCCTCGTACGGTTAATCTCTCACGTCTCCTTCATCACCTCACACTTTACTTCACCAGCAGAGTAGCATAATAAAGCATTTTAGTGCTAGTAATAAAGAATATTTACCTGACCAACCTCCCTCACACCTTCACTCCATCCCTCTTGTTTACCTCACTCACACCTACCAACTCAACTCCATCATCAACCCACTATAATCTATTTTTATGTTTCATTATTCACTTTATAAGATAAAACCTACTTATATTTTTCCTAGTTAATGTTTCTCGAGTTTTGTTTACATTTTTCAAGTTGAAAAATAATAGAGCAAAATGTTATTTTGAATTTAATTCATGTTGGTTATTCTGGTTAGAAAATAATTCGTTACTTTGTAAAATTGTTAATAAATTGATGTTAAGTGAGAGTTGATGAGGCTGCAGCGGCCTCAACTCAAACAAGAAGAAAATTATTCATAACCCTGGTATTAAAATGTGCTACAATTGTCAAAAATAGTTATATAAGAGGAGCCCTTGGTTGGGGACCATGGGGATCCCTGGGGACCTCGGGCCATAGGGGGATCATGGGTATTCAGGGGCCAAAGAGGGTCCTGGAGTAATGGGGGTCCTGGAGCCCTGGGGCCCGTGGGGGGGGCCTTCACATGTATCACATTGTGCTACACTCAACTTTGAACGCAACTCATACTGTTAATTGCACAACACTTCGTCCTGTTTTTTATTCTTTCGTTCAAACTCTCACATTTACACTTCTGGAGGAGTGTTGAAGCGGCTGTAATGACGGTGGTGAGGGAGGGACGCAGCGAGGTGTGATCCGAGGAAAGTTAGCTCCTCTTCCTAGGATCAAGAACTCCTCAGCAGCTCCAGGGTAACCACCTAGCTGAGTTATAGTTCAGTAGTTAGTGATCATTATCAGTGTTGTCGTCACCTCAGCCTCGAGTTTTCATATTTACAACACTGTACTCACCTAATTGTGGTTGCAGGGGTCGGGTCACAGCTCCTGGCCCCCGCCTCTTCACTGGTCGCTACTGATGTATTATACCCGCTCTTCAATTAGTTTTTTCAATTACAATGAAAGGAGATATACTAGAAATAAGGTAAGCTGAGCTATTTACATTAACATTAAAGACAGGATCAGATCACAGTAATTATGTACATGCATGTTAGCTATGCGAGAAGTCACAAGGTACCTTTCTGTAGCTTTATTCATTAGGTACATTTCTGTTGCTTCATTTATTAGGTACCTTTCTGTAGCTACATTTACTAGGTACCTTACTGTAGCAATATTCATTAGGTACCTTTCCATAGCTTCATTCATTACCTGGAGTTTAGCTGGAGAGAGTTCCGGGGGTCAACGCCCCCGCGGCCCGGTCTGTGACCAGGCCTCCTGGTGGATCAGAGCCTGATCAACCAGGCTGTTACTGCTGGCTGCACGCAAACCAACGTACGAGCCACAGCCCGGCTGGTCAGGAACCGACTTTAGGTGCTTGTCCAGTGCCAGCTTGAAGACTGCCAGGGGTCTGTTGGTAATCCCCCTTATGTATGCTGGGAGGCAGTTGAACAGTCTCGGGCCCCTGACACTTGTGTAAGAAAGGTATAAAATACCGACAATATGAAAGTTAAGACACATGTGCAACATCTGGATATCTTTATTGTAGACGTTTCGCCATCCAGTGGCTTTATCAATACAGATTCTAGGACATAATAGGAAGACAGTAGAACTATATACAAAAGATGAGGTAATCAGTCCCTCGGCCTTGGAGTTAGTGTTCACAGCATCGTGGTGGAGGAGAATCTGGAGCAAAGGCAAGAAGACTGACGTTTATATAGGCGTCAGTGGAAGGGACGGGCAGCAGACGAGGGCAGTCACTGGTAGGCGGGATTCCCCAGTGGAAGTAGGTCCTTCCCAAAGAGATGGGTTAGTTGCAGCAGCCGTGAAGAAGGTCTTGTAGATGTCCTCTGAACCAAGATTCCATGATGTTGCAGTGTCTGACAAGTTGTGTAAGAAAGGTATAAAATACCGACAATATGAAAGTTAAGACACTTATTGTATGGTCTCTTAACGTGCTAGTGACACCCCTGCTTTTCATTGGGGGGATGTTGCATCGTCTGCCAAGTCTTTCGCTTTCGTAGTGAGTGATTTTCGTGTGCAAGTTCGGTACTAGTCCCTCTAGGATTTTCCAGGTGTATATAATCATGTATCTCTCCCGCCTGCGTTCCAGGGAATACAGGTTCAGGAACCTCAAGTGCTCCCAGTAATTGAGGTGTTTTATCTCCGTTATGCGCGCCATGAAGGTTCTCTGTACATTTTCTAGGTCAGCAATTTCACCTGCCTTGAAAGGTGCTGTTAGTGTGCAGCAATATTCCAGCCTAGATAGAACAAGTGACCTGAAGAGTGTCATCATGGGCTTGGCCTCCCTAGTTTTGAAGGTTCTCATTATCCATCCTGTCATTTTTCTAGCAGATGCGATTGATACAATGTTATGGTCCTTGAAGGTGAGATCCTCCGACATGATCACTCCCAGGTCTTTGACGTTGGTGTTTCGCTCTATTTTGTGGCCAGAATTTGTTTTGTACTCTGATGAAGATTTAATTTCCTCGTGTTTACCATATCTGAGTAATTGAAATTTTTCATCGTTGAACTTCATATTGTTTTCTGCAGCCCACTGAAAGATTCGGTTGATGTCCGCCTGGAGCCTTGCAGTGTCTGCAATGGAAGACACTGTCATGCAGATTCGGGTGTCATCTGCAAAGGAAGACACGGTGCTGTGGCTGACATCCTTGTCTATGTCAGATATGAGGATGAGGAACAAGATGGGAGCGAGTACTGTGCCTTGTGGAACAGAGCTTTTCACCGTAGCTGCCTCGGACTTTACTCTGTTTACTACTCTCTGTGTTCTGTTAGTGAGGAAATTATAGATCCATCGACCGACTTTTCCTGTTATTCTTTTAGCACGCATTTTGTGCGCTATTACGCCATGGTCACACTTGTCGAAGGCTTTTGCAAAGTCTGTATATATTACATCTGCATTATTTTTGTCTTCTAGTGCATTTAGGACCTTGTCATAGTGATCCAATAGTTGAGACAGACAGGAGCGACCTGTTCTAAACCCATGTTGCCCTGGGTTGTGTTACTGATGGGTTTCTAGATGGGTGGTGATCTTGCTTCTTAGGACCCTTTCAAAGATTTTTATGATATGGGATGTTAGTGGTATTGGTCGTTCTTTGCTGTTGCTTTACTGCCCCCTTTGTGGAGTGGGGCTATGTCTGTTGTTTTTAGTAACTGTGGGACGACCCCCGTGTCCATGCTCCCTCTCCATAGGATGGAAAAGGCTCGTGATAGGGGCTTCTTGCAGTTCTTGATGAACACGGTACCTTTCTATATACCTGGAGTATACCTGGAGTATACCTGGAGAGAGTTTCGGGGGGCAACGCCATTGCGGTCCAGTCTGTGACCAGGCCTCATGGTGGATCAGGGCCTGATCAACCAGGTTGTTACTGCTGGCCGCACGTAAACCGACGTAGGAATCACAGCCCTGCTGATCAGGTACTGACTTTAGGTGCCTGTCCAGCGCCTTATTGAGAGCAGATAGGGTTTTTGATGACAGCCAGGCCTTGAAGGAGGCCAGGGGCTTTGAAGGCAGCAGCCAGGAGTCTTGAAGACAGCCAGGGGCTTTGAACGCAGCAGCTAGGGGTCTTGGACGCAGCCAGGGGCCTTGAAGACAACCAGGAGTCTTGAAGGCAGCCCGGAGCCTTGAAGACAGCCAGGGGTCTTGAAGGCAGCCAGGGGACTTGAAGACACCCAGGGGTCTTGAAGTCAGCAGCCAGGGGTCTTGAAGACAGTACCCAGGGGTCTTGAAGGCAGCCAGGGGCCTTGAAGACAGCCAGGGATATTGAAAATAACCAGGGCTCTAGAAGACAGCCAGGGGTCTGGGGTTTATTGGTAATCCCCCTTATGTATGCTGGGAGGCAGTTTAACAGTCTTGGGCCCCGGACACTTACTGTATTGTCTCTCAGTGTACTCGTGGCGCCGCTGCTTTTCATCGGGGGAATGTTGCATCTCCTGCCGAGTCTTATGCTTTCATAGGGAGTGATTTTTTTGTGCGCAGATTTGGGACTAGTTCCTCTAGGATTTGTAGTCTGTCTTAATTTTTTGTTGAGGCAGAGTACCATGTATGAGACGCAAGTATATTCGTGCTTCAGTGACGCAATCCTAACCTTGTTTCAGTGACGCAGTCCTGTCCTTGCTTCAGTGACGCAATCCTATCCTTGTTTCAGTGACGCAGTCTTATCCTTCAGTGACGAAGTCCTATCCTTGCTTGAGTGACGCAGTCCTATCCTTGCATGAGTGACGCAGTCCTATCCTTGCTTGAGTGACGCAGTCCTATCCTTGTTTGAGTGACGCAGTCCTATCCTTGCTTGAGTGACGCAGTCCTATCCTTGCTTGAGTGACGCAGTCCTATCCTTGCTTGAGTGACGCAGTCCTATCCTTGCTTGAGTGACGCAGTCCTATCCTTGCTTGAGTGACGCAGTCCTATCCTTGCTTGAGTGACGCAGTCCTATCCTTGTTTGAGTGACGCAGTCCTATCCTTGTTTGAGTGACGCAGTCCTATCCTTGCTTGAGTGACGCAGTCCTATCCTTGCTTGAGTGACGCAGTCCTATCCTTGCTTGAGTGACGCAGTCCTATTCTTGGCTTCATATCAAGAAGTATAAATAATAGGAAGTCCTCAGTTGTTCTTCAACTCTATATATCCTTGGTTAAACCTCATTTAGATTATGCTGCACAGTTTTGGTCACCGTATTACAGAATGGATATAAATGCTCTGGAAAACATACAAAGGAGGATGACAAAGTTGATCCCATGTATCAGAAACCTTGTGCAAGAAAGGTATAAAATACCGACAATATGAAAGTTAAAACACATGTGCAACATCTGGATATCTTTATTGAGACGTTTCGCCATCCAGTGGCTTTCAATCAGTACAACAAATAGGAAGATCAGTAAACTAGTATAAAAAGATGAGGTAATCAGTCCCTCAGCCTTGGAGTTAGTGTTCACAGCATCGTGGTGGAGGAGAATCTCCTCCACCACGATGCTGTGAGAAAGTCACTGGATGGCGAAACGTCTACTACAATAAAGATATCCAGATGTTGCACATGTGTCTTAAC